CCGATTCGATCTGAGCGTGGCTTTTTCCCCGAGATATTAGATCTCACCGGCGAGCGCGAATCCATTGCAGGAAGCGCAAATGGCAGCCGCGTCCTTCGACCGAGCCGGATTCGCACGGATTTTTCACGATTGCTCGAAGTGAAAAAATATATGAGTTTTTTTCCGTAGTCTTTTATTATAAAATTAAATTCAAACACGAAAGATATTTACAATTGTTTGTTCTACACAGAACAAAAGATTAATTTGCATAGCAAGAAGCATTCAGCTTTGATAAAAATTCTCTTCCTTTGAAAGAGAAAAGAAAAATAGGTTTCACGGCTCGAGCTTTACATTTCTACGTCTGTTGCGAACGTGTTAATAGCAATTGCCTTTTTCTTCATGTTTCTCTCGTATTTCTTCGCGCTGACTTAAATCTCAGCGAACAATGGAAAACATAATTTTGCGGCGCTGCGTTATATCTTATTGGAGATCGACCAGATCGCGCGCCGATAAGATGACGCATCCATCGGCGGCAAAGCGATCGCGATAGTGCACACATCTGTCTCGGAAAGTGAACAACGAGCCGGTTGTATCTATTAAGATCAATTCTCACGCAAAGTCGTCATGTCCGACGCGAAATTGCTTCTGGCACGCGGCGAGATTTTCCGAACGCTTTTCTTTTTGCAATCTTTCCGGCGCGTGCGCGATCACTCAGTTGTCTACCGTTATTTTTGTTACCTGGCAAATCTCACGGTGGTTGTAACATTTATTTTATCGACACGCACGATCAGCTCTCGGCGCGAACTTTTACCCATGCTGACCTCATGCGAGAGATAGAAGGAGATAGAAGGCGGCGGGTGAAAGAGAGAGAGAGAGAGGGAGAGGGGAGTTGTGAACAAAGTGAGATACAGGAACGTCGAGCGGGACGGACACGTACGACTCATACGGCTATAATAGAAAATTATTCACGCATTACTCAATCGTTCGATTAACTCGGGGAAGATAATAGCACAATTGTCTTGCGCTTTTTCAAGCGCGAACGAGGATTTACGAGCCTGTTAATATCGCTGATTTACTTTCAACGGCGTGTCAGCCGTGGCCGGCGCTTGCGGAAATCCAAGTGCGCGCGCGTCTGAAAATAGATATCTATTGAAATTTATTCGTTTATCGATTATTCCGGACTCGCGGCAACCGGTGATTAATGTCGGGGTTGTGCGTTGCGCAATCATCCTTGCGGGTGACCGTAGAAATATGCCGGCGATTCAGGATGTTACGATTCAATAGTCACCGCGCGTCTATGTGTCCTTAATGAAGATGAAACATTAGAATCTCGATCTTTTTTGACACACGTAACTTTTCCAAGAGGATTCCAATCAACAAGAAATCTTACACATTCCGAAAAGATTCTAGTTGACGAAAAATTTCAAAATTCCGAACTCTGAGAATTGTGACTAAAGACGGGAGAATTACGTTTTTCGCGTCAACGTCGTCACGATCGTGATTTGCGCGTCTCGAGAAGACGGCGCTTGAAATAACGCGATGCGGAAATGATTAGAAAGCGATCGTGGAAAAAGATGTACGAGCGGACGCGAGGTCCTAACGCGCGATTCCGGGAGGGATCGAGCGCCGTCTCGGGCACTAAATCCTCGAATGCGCGCCGCCCGGCGTGTTCCCCTGCTGCAAGTCCAGTTCCTGGACGCGTCCGCCTGGACAAATGCCCGGATACCAGCGGTGGAAGTAATACGTCTTAGCGCGTCGCTGTACCGCGCGACGCGCCACCACGATCGCATAATGTCCCCCGCGGCCCATTACGGCGCTTCCCGGCTCGAGAACGAGATCGAGGATTTCGCTTTATTGGGCAGTGGACTCTTGCTCGCGCGCTCAACTGCGTCCGTTCTCGCGAGATTTATCGCAGGATTAGGGCGCAAATCCGCCTTCACGAGCAAAAACGATAACGTTACAGATTTCATTCGCACACTTGACTTTGTTCCCCGATTTTAACGGCAAGATTTTCAGTCGAAAGTTCAGATTCGAAAAATGTATTGAGAAATTAATGATCTATTTGGAAAAGAATATTGAGCATTTTGATAAGCGGAGCTTAAATGAATTTTCCATAGTCATCACAATAAGAAGTGACTAATAAGATTTCGTTATCCGGTTACGTACTTGAAGACTTCGATCGTCGGTGTGAAATAATTGTGTAATTAAGTTCCTGTCTCGAAAGAGGGGAAAGGTAGAAGCATGCAAAGAGAGAACGTTAACGAGGTAGAAGTGACTAGCTTTTCTCTCTCTCTCTCTCTCTCTCTCTTTCCCTTTCTTTGTTTTTTTAATTCGGAGTCAATTTTTGAAGGCATCGCGCTCCACTTGCGCCGACCGGCGAAAGCATCCCGCAATCCACCACAAGCGTTTCGATGGTTTATCGCGCAACGACACAGGTGAAAACGTAATTAAAAATCTCGCTTATTAAACCGGCGTTGCGCGCTCGGCCGTAGGGCCGACGCGGGAGTAAAAGGTAAAATAACCGCTCCTCGCCCGGGCACCATGGGTGGCACGGTTAGCAGCCCATCCATTTTTCTGACTGCTTGTTGTTTCGCGCCGGGGGTCCGGAGCTCCTTCAATCCCGGTCCACCCTATAAAACCTCCTGCTCCCGCTAGCTCTGCTCCGAATCCGCGAGGGCAGCCGCCGTAAAACGCTCTCCGGAAATCGTAGCTCCGAGAATAATCCGCCCTTGTTAAAATCACCTCTGCATTTTCTCTTCGGACACTTTTATATAGACTTTGCGGAGCGACTAAATATATTTGTAAATTTCCGCCAAGCTATCGGACACTTTTATAAACTTGCACATCGCCGTGCAGAGATGTTATCGTGTTACTAAATTTGTACAATAAGATAAGAGTAAGCTGGCAGTTAAGAATACAATACTACCGTATTGCAGTGACGTTAAACCGTGCGTTAAAGCCATTTAATCGTCATCCGCCGATTATCTGAAGGCTTCATCGACTCATTCTCGCTCATTCTGATACCGTGTCGATTTCTATGGCGCTTTAGAGAGCCGAGATCAATCGGCATTCGGAGTGGCACGAGCGCGAGCACGTTTCGAGCGTAAAATGCCGATGTTCCGGGCGTCAGTCGTTAAACTCGTCTCTATAAATGAAGCGCGAGCGTGACGTCTTCTCGCGGGTACCAATCCGGCGAGATTCGTCCTCGAGGAGGAACGTGGATCTCCGAGTTCGATCTGTCGGACGGTGCCCTTCCCCCTCGGGGCCCCTCGACGGGGCAACGATACGCGGCGCGGGTCCACCGCGTGATTCTTACGGGGCCTCGTAGCGCGCCAGTCACGCCGCCCTCATCAATCTTGTTCGATTATTCCGTGATGGGCGAAAAAAAGCGAGCGGTCGGCGGGGCGGGCGCGAGGGGGGGGGACGGGCGAAGGGACGGACGAGACAAAAGGGAGGCACGAGGTGGGTCGTTATAAATGGTGAGGCGATTTGATTTCTATTAGGCGACGTATTGTTCGCTCCTTGCGGGGGACTGCGCCGCCACAACGAGCGGGCCCCGGTATTAATGAATTTGCGCCCGCGCGGTCGCTCGCGGATTCCTTTCCGCCCGGTTCGTATCAGTTAGAGCTCGCGAGTAAAGGCATTATCTACGATGCCGCGGCTCGGCGGGGCCTTATCGCGGCTCGGCGAGTTATGGGCTGTTCGCTAATGCCAGCAATGTGCCGTTATTTCGTTTCAACCGGTTGATTTGTGCATTTTCGGATATAATCACGGCGCGGATACACAAGCTGCGTATATATACACGTACAGTATACTGTAATTAACAATAAATTTTTAGAGTCAATTCGGAAAATTACTAACGCAGCGCTTGCGCGATGCGGAAAATGACGGCAGTCACACGGATGATTAATGCACGACAATGACGTGCGAAATAAATTGTGTATATTAATTGTACGTTAAGTTGAAAAACAAATTACCTTGTAGTATTTCTATTTGCGGTTAAGATTATCATTTGTTTCGATATTAATAAACGCGCCGGTTTCATCAGTTCTGACGGAGCTCCAGCGCGCGCCTAGGATTATTTCTACATTTCCCGCAGAAAGATGATTAAATCGAGTAATCTTTGATTAAATCAGGACAGCTGCAATTGATCCTAATTACCAAGCGCAGATAATAAATGGATATTGCGTCGATCGCGCCGCGCCGCACTGCGATTTCCATATAGCCGCGAGTTTTCATCGGCCTCGCGCGCGGCGGAAGACTCGCCCGCAATATGATTCAGGCTAATTTTTGCCGCGTGATAATAACATAATTACGTTAATCGCCGTTAATTAAATGGGACGCGAAATTAACGTCATTGGCGGTCGTCGAGCGGCGATAATGGCGTCGAACAAACAATTAAAATGCAAAACGATATAGCGCAATGAAATTATCAGTAAAGCGGGCTGGATGAGGTGAGCGGTTGTAACTCGCGTTAGTGTCGCGTTGCGTCATCATGCGCGCGCTTCGATGAGCCCGATGACTAAGAATAAGAAGTATTTTTGCTCCTCTATGGCTAAATATTACTTTCGTTTTCTCTTGTTTACGTAACAATCGACATCGCCGCGGCAGTGAGCGCCTGTAAATAGCGAAAGATCGTGCGCTAAACATATTTCAGTCTGCTAATTGTAAATTTGTTTCTGTTTAATATTTGATATTTGCTAATTACTACAAATTAAAAGGCGATGTAAAGTTTGATAAATGCAAATTTTTATCGCAATTAATATTAATATGTTTGTCGATGTTGTTTAATTAATTGTTTTAATTAAAATCTTTATATCTTTTTATGACTTTTAAATATTAATGTTATTCTCGCTTTAATAACGTGATTAAAGTTTGGTTTCATTGCCACACGCGAAACGCGGCACGCATACTTCCGTTTCACAATCTCGCAGTCTCGGTAGAAGGACCGCTCGCTTCTATCCGCGCGCCGACGTTAATAGGTTTTTCGTACTGGCGTCTCAATAAAGCAACATTTACAGGAGCAGGTGGCCCTTGCGCGAGGGATGCCTGTCGATGGAGAGTGGAAGCACGCCCACCACCCGTCTTCCCGTCGTACTTAAGGACGAAACTTAAAGTAGGTGCAAAGAAACGCTCTTCCATGACCCACCTCCGTCTCGGCCCGGTCTTTTTAATGCGAGGGCGTTGATGGGAGGTGGACCATCGCAAACACACCGCAGTGTCCGTTCGGATAATTTACGTCGTGGTTTTATGAGAGTTTAACTAGCGGGTAGATCGTGCCGCGCGTAGTCGACTCGTACCATTGCCGCTATTCATTTCCGTCGCCTACACGCGACGAGATCCGCTATTCGCAAAGTATGCAAAAGGTTCGCGATTCTCTACGTTTTCAAAACCTGGTATGTAAACAGCAGAGACAAGACGAGAAACTAGCTGCCGTCCTCAGAATTGTTTCCAGACAATCGAGTACGCATGTATATTTGGGAGTAGAAAGTAATTGAAAGACAATTATTGGAATTAAAAGACTCATGATAATCGGCACTTTTAGCAATAGTAATTTTTTGCATTATTTAATTTAACAACAAAGATTTATGTTGGTCTTTCGTCCTATACGTAGCGTTTTTGTATCCGCTGACTTGAATATATTAAACATATCAAGAATTTAATTTCAAAGGATTGATAAGATAAGCCATAATGTTCCAGGATTTAAGATTCAGCGGCTTAGAAGCTTCAATCGTTGCTTGTTAGAACAGTTAAGCTCGATCGATCAAATTTGTTTCCGTTGATTCCGAACAATCTTCAGAAATGTACGACGCTCTTGTCGCGATTGCTGTCGGCTCAGTTTCACCTGAATTTTATGGGAGAGTTGTCCGCGCGCGAGACCGAAACTCGTAATATCAAGTGCCCCGACATTGATGCGTGGAATCTTATTTGCAAACGGGATTTTCAAGGGGGCCCGCTGCGGACCCCAATTTCGGAACTGTTACTCTCGGGGTCCGGTAATCCGACCGCGAGAAATGCGTTTAAGCCTCCCCTCCCCCCCCTCCTACTCCCGAAGGAGAACTCTCTCCGCACAATGGCGGTCGTGAAACCACTTCTGTCGGATGACACGAGCACGTAGAGAATAAAATAAACGAGGGCGGGGTAGAAGGGGCGAGAATGGAAGTTGCGAGACCGGAGAAACCGATTTCCTGCATGAATTGACTCGGTGCAGGAGGGCGGCCTTCCTGTTTACCCGTCGGATCTCCGCCACCTATATAATTTCGCCTCCTCGACCCGTCTCCTCGCTACCCATTTTTCTTCTCGGTTGCCCGCGACGTGATCCTGTTACGTGGAAAACCGTACGGAAGAAAGTCCGTCGCGTAATCCGTATCCATTGTGATTCGTCAACGATTCGCACCGTTATTTAAGACACGCCAAAGGTTTCTGCGCGCAGCGCAACTTGGCGAACAACGCGCGACGTCGACTAATAAATTCAATCGATAAATATTTAAATACGATTTTGCCGCAGAGTGATATCGTACACTTTTTCTTATGATTAAACTGAAATTTGTTATCAATTGTAAGTTAATGAACGAGAACCGACTTTAGGGGACGCAAACGCGTGCGAATTCGGCCGGAGCCGCCGAACACGACACTCCAGTGTTACGAGGTTATAGTCCGGCGATCACGTTTGACTAATTCTCTTCACGCAGGCCCCCCTTTACCTTGCGCAGCCTCATCCCCGTCATCGTGTGTACACGAGAGGTCCCGAAAGACGGGACAATGACCGCGAAGAAAACCTATTACAATCGTCGAACGATTAGCCCGATCGTTTTTTCGGATTGAAGCGGCGAGGGAAGACCGGGGTGAGGGCCGGGGGGGAACGGCCGTCGGAGGTGGAATCACGGGGAGAGGGCATTCACTGGCTTTATGAGGCAACAATGACTGGTCATCGACGGGCTTTCGAGGCTCCTCTACTTCTTCTCATCGATTCCGTTGTCTCGTTCTCCCCTCCTTTCCCCTCTCGCTCACTCGACCCCCGCTCACTCGGGCATCGTCGATGATTAACACGCGCGTCTACCTTATTCGATCTGCCGAGCATTCGGGCTGCCACGGCACGGGCAGACTGCCAAATGAAATAACCCCCGCGCGATCGCGATCGTTACCGGCCGCGAGATCATTATTACCGTCTCGTTCCGTCTCGTCTCGAGACGCAGACCGATGTTCATTACGATATCGCGCGATACGCGTCTTATCGCAATCGTCCCGGGATAACTAATTGGCAACCTAATTAGGTTAATCGTCGAAACTCGGTTCATTAACGTTTCAATCGATCCGCGGGCGTACGTATCGACACGGCGACAGTTCGATTGCCGAGGGGGGGGGGGGGAGGGGAGAGGCGGTCGAATGCGTAGCGGCGCTGTCAAAATGCAGCGATCAAGAGGAGTGTCCTTTACCCGCGGTGTCCCGCGAATTAACATTTTAACACTCTGGGCGCCCCCCCGCGGAGACCCGCCTCCGCCCCGTCGACTTTTTCTTCCTCTTCCACCTCGTCCGCGCACTTCTTCCGCTCGCTGGATCCCTCGATCCTCCGATCGGCCGATGGAATTAGATTAGCTCCGATGACTCGGTCCCGTCATTGAAGCGATTAATCCAATCTGGATATGTAGACAGGACCGCGCGAGCGGTAATATTACTAAATGAGAATCGCATTCCTCCGGCCGTTCGCCTCTTAGTTCCCGACAATAACTCGAGTAATTTCTAGAGATAACTCACGGGGATAAACCAATTTAGCTTTCTTTATCGCATTAATTTCTCTAACAATTCATATTAATCACAATTCTTAAAATATTACTTTTCAATAATTGTACATATATTTTTCACAAACAGCAATAAATAGAGTAGAATATTTTTCGACTGATTTTTAATAGAGCGGGATTATTTTTGCGATACGGTGCGATGTTTTTTCACATTTCTCGACCGAAGATACTCTCGGCTTAATTTTTTATTTCCTCGGCATTGGCATGATTTGGAGTTCGGGTCCTCAATTAGATTAGGTGGGTCTCGAGCGGTCAGCCGTTGATGCGATTAATCCAGCCGGATGTGTATCGACGCGCATGGGGCAACGAGCCCGCTTCTCGATCCATCGAAAAGCATCGGGAACACGCCCAGGAAAGGAGAAAGATAGAGAGAGAGGAGAGAGAGAGAGAGAGAGAGAGAGAGATAGCATGGGCTGACGGGTGTACAGATGGAGGAGGTGCCGGGGTGAGAAGTCGATCGTGAGCCGCGATCGACCGGCCGTTCGGAAATCGGGCGTCGAGAGCGTCCTCCGGGGCGTCCCAGTACCTTTTCGCGCAGGCAGGTATAGCGCGCTCCGGGATCCTCGCTAAGGTTTCGCAAGATACTCGGCAACCGGCCGGACGCGTTCATGATCAAGCCCGCAATTAAATTGGTGCGCCGAATTTCTGGCCTCGCGGCTCTCACAATGTCGATCCGCGGCGAAACTGTGTAATTACGCGCTTTTATAGATAATTAAACGATAAAGTTCGCCCCGCGACTCTCGGCTCGACCTCCGCCAATGTACATAATTTCCTTTTATTGCAATATAGCGTAACGTAGGGCAGACACGGACGCGGGAAAAATAGAAATGACGAGGAAGACGTCAATCGAATGAAATCATTTATTTTATACACGAATACGCATGCTCGTTCATTGCGTAAATTATTTTGAAGTAAATTATTTTGAAGACTTAAAGTCGTTCTCCCTGCAATTTCTCCCAAATGATGGACTTCCGATTATTGAAAAACGCAATGCATCGTAATGGTGGATCATGTCGGTACGCTATTGCACGCACTCTGCGCGAAATCGTTTCGGGTAATGACTATTTGGCGAGACAAGTACCGGACGTGGCGCGGCACGGATGAAACTATCGAGCAAAAAAGGACGAGGCGAAAGGGGAAAAAAAACCGGCAGAGGAGGGAGAAAAAGAGCGGTCTCTCGTGGAAGAAGGAGAGGAAGGGACAGAGGAGCGGGTGCATTGTTTCTATGGGAGGATCCCATGCATAACTTAGACAGCCGTGCACAGGTGTAAAAGGAGAATGCGCGTGTGGGTATTATAGTGAGTTCCGTAGCGGGGAGGGTACGGGGGGTGATGGCGGCGGCGCGAGAGTGAGAGAGAGAGAGAGAGAGGAGGGAGGTGAGAGAGAGAGAGAGAGAGAGAGACGCGCGGGTAGGAGTTAGAAGAGGCTGGCGCACAAAGGCGCGAGTTTCGCCAAGTAATCGTGCCCATTAATAACGCTGCTGACCCACCTCCTCCGGCCCCCCCCTCGTCTCCCCCCTCCCTCCCCCCGTCCCCTCTCGTCTTCGTCGCTCTTACACACTCCGGACGCTCATGGACACTTGTTCTCTCCTCAAGGAATATAACAAACCGCGCTCTGTCTTATTTGGTACGAACCTACCGGGCGATGCTGCCCGCCGATCTCGCGGTAGATTGTATCACGTGGTCCTCCCTCCCCCTCCTCTTCGCCCCTCACTTGCGATGGAGATCGATGCTTCGTCGAAGCCCCCCATAGCAATTATAATCTAACAGTTGGAACACTGTTGCCCGATTTCACCGACAAATTAGTGTATTAATATGTTGCCGCGGTGTATCTTCCCGAGTGTCTTATTGCGCGTCGCTGCGCGAGAAAGTGGCCCGATGATTATTGAGGCGTCTATTTAATATCCCGGTTTGATTAATCCGTACGAGATAATTCGATAAGATTGCAATCCGTTTGTGAAAAATAGCAAATATCAGCCTCGCTGTAGAAATGCCGTTATTGTCATTAGCGCGTTTATTAATAATGAACGGCGTTTATGAGCGAGAACGGGAGGGAAGACCCTTAATTAAGACGACATACGAGCGGAGCGAAGCACCGAGAAGCGGACTTCGTGGAAACGCCGGCGGACGCCTTGCGAAAATCTGAGCGAGTTAACTCATTTCCCCTCGTGTTGTCCTCTCCTCGGACGCTTGGTTTCTTCGCGGACGGAGCGCGTCCGTCGTGCGTGACGCGCGCGAATAAAGTCGCGTGCGCCTATTAATAATAACGCGGCTCGCCGATAGAAAACGGACGTCGGCGGCAGGAATCTAGGCTGGTCATTCTCGTACGGGGTCGCGGCCCGGTTCAATAGCGGACGCAGGGGCTCGGCGGAATTGTCCCGGCACGCTGACAGTTGCAGCGTGCGCGCAACGATTGCGCGCACGCGATTTTTCCGTGCTTTTATTATGCGGACGTGCGTATCGGCCGCGTCGAATCTCTACCCGTTGATGGGAACGCCGATATCGGCGCTAATAAAATTCCGTGTTTTACAAGCTTCGTCCTTTTCCTCGCTCCGAATTTTCATGGGAGATGTTTGTAATTGTACATTTCGTCAAGATAATCGAAGAAATATTTTTTTTCAACCAAATTTTTTTAATACAAATGTTGAGCTTTTAATGACACCGCTCCGCTGTGAAATGCCCGGCTTTTTTCCTTCCACAATATGTTTTATTGCATAGTATTTGTATCAGCATCGACATATTTGTTTCTTTATCTATCCCCGTCAAAATCCCGAAAGGCCCTGCGGAATGACGATACAACCCTCGATCGTGACACACTACGGTCACAAATCCCACGATTGATTATTTATTCCGTGCTGTGTGCTGAATCTAAGTTTCACACTCGACGTGAGACTGACCCCACCCGCTTGACCCCTGCGGCAGGATATACAGAAGGGATTACCAGCCCCGAAGTCCCGCCACGCCAAAGTGACTTCGCATTCACCGACGAGTATCGTTTCACGCGGCACCGATCCGTTTTGGAGGCTTTGCCCGACAGACGTTTATCCCGAATTCCTCGACTCGAGAAAACATCGACGGATTACGTTGGTGCGTCACTTTACAAAGTGACGTAAAAATTGAGAGAACGTCGCGCGGATATGAACTTTTTTTCTATACAAATGTTATTCATCCCGTTTACAAATAAATTTCCGATCACGAGCGAGATATCGCATACACTTGTAATAACTCTTTGCATGAGTTTAAATATTTTATCATATTGTATCTAATTCTCGTAATGAATTCTATCACAAATATCCATCATAAAAGCCAACATATCGATAAGTATATTTAGAAATATATATTTAGAATTTACAAACTTCAAATTAGCTATCGCGTAATCCCAAGCGTATTAATAGCTGTACCAGCCGCACAATTTTAATTCAGAGTCGACATTATCCACTTTTCGTAACGGCTACGAAAACGCTCGGTGACAACAATAGTGATGATCGGCGAAAAGTATTCGTGTCAACCGCGTAGACTAAGAACCAGACTAACTGCAAGAATCTTTTATCGACGTCACGCCGGAATGAGCAGCCGGTATATACGCACATTTCGGAGTGACATTCATTCTTACGGCATCGTTACCGCGAAATGTGCGGTAAACCGCAAAAGCGAGAATGGGGACCGCTCTCTTGACTTCGGTCCGCACGAAGAAAAGGAGGATCACGCGCATCCGTGAGAGAGGAGGTTCTCTCGGCCGCGGGAGTTGGGTATCCGATCTCCTTCTATTCCGCTAGCCCGGAGAAACGGGATTACGCGAAATCCCGGTCACTTTTATAGGAAGTATATATCCTCTCCAGCCGGGGCTATCTAAGGCCGCCTCCTCTTCGCGTTCGTCTCTTTTTCTCTCTTTCTCCCTTCGTCTACTTACTCGCAGAGTATCCCGCGCGGCAGAGAAGGTCAACGTCGGCAATTCGAACGACGATCGAACGTAAGCAGCTGCTGGCTCGACTCTCCTCGGATATCTCGGAGACTCTCCGGGGTCTCTTTTAACCCTCGGCGAAGGGCCCATCCGGACCTAATTCGCCGTGAAACGAGGAGGCCGACTTGCGCAAACGCGCGTAAGCGGGGATTTGGAGATCCAGACGATGACACATACACACACCCCGCCTCTCCGACCGAATTTTCTAATTCATAGAACGAGCGAGAGCCGCGCGAGACCTCGTGACTCCCGGGAGCCGATCGGGAGACCAGCGGGATGCCATGAGATTTATTCGAGAGTCGTAGTGGCAGAGCGACGCCGCTTGGAAAATAATCCTTGTAAGGAACGAGCTGACTTAATATTTCAGTGAACTTTTTACCGCTCAAGCTTTTTTGATAACGGAAAAATAAAATGTTTTTAGGTATTTTACATTTACATGTAAAATCATAGTTTATTAAAATTTATATTAAGATAAACATTTTTTTAAGACGATGAATAGAAAATTTAATATTTCTATTGTTTTACTAAAATACTACGCAGCAGGATTTGGGGAGATTGAATGAAAACTAGTCGTGCAATTAAGTAGTATATCACACATTTATAAATTTTCAAGTAAATACACAGTAGATAACGATTACGGTACAATTTATAGTTGGTTGCACGAGACAACCGTCCTTCTCACTTCGAAAAATCCTTCGTCCTGCATCGCCTTGCGCTTCGTAACACTTCTTGTAGATAAAATAACTATATCATCTAATCATTCGCGCAATCGAGTGCCCCGCAGTGCGAAAATCCCTTCAATGCGCAGTCTCGCCTCCGCGGACTGCATCGTACAAAATCTCTGCGGATGCAATTCCTTCGCCGTAATGCGCGACAAGAAAATTATTTCCGTCAACTTGCCATTACACTCGTTTATTGGGAAGAATATCTCGTAGACTGCTGCTTTTAAAACAGGCGGAGAAAGAATCTGTGAGAGTTAACATATACACCTTCATCACGCACGATAACGTATCATTACAATTTATTGCCGAGTTTCCCGGGTGAATTATCCTCGCGAGACGCCAATCGTAGTCGCGTTAATTACTATATTTAATCGGATGAAAGTATATGAGATCTCGGATCGAGAATGGATCCCTGTTAAGGACTGGTTATTGGATGTTCTTCCGTTCTTTTTATCTATATAGGCCTCCGTAACACACGACTCTCTTTTATTACCGAACTCGTTAACACATCTACCATGATCGAAGTTGTCGCGGCGCAAGATCGATATTATCGTACGTGCGCGAGAGGGGGGGGGGCGGGATTTTGCGTGCGGCGCGGAGATCACGACGTTATCTCGTTCACGGTTGCTACCTCGATTTACATGTAAACACCTCGTGCACTCGATAAGGCTCAATTAAGTTACGCCTTTTAATTAATAAGGGAACGCTAATTGGTATCGATCTGTGTTCCTTCTTCTGCTTTGCACCCGCATTGGTTAATGCAACGCACGCTGTCTAACTGTGGTGAGAAAGTATTAAGTTTTGCGAGAAAATTCGTATCGCAGCTTTGTCCGTACATGCTTGAAAAATTGTACAAACGTCTGAGCCTGGTGTTGTAATTTTAATTTCGATAGAATTTATATATTTTTTTATGAATGATAAAAGAGAAAAAGAAAACAATTTCATTATTCCACCATAAATTTTTGTTACAAAATTAAAAAAAAAAAATTAATGCGTGCAAAATATATATTGTACTGGCAAAGTGCGTCTGAAAATAGACCGCGCCTTCGAGACAGAGCAAAATATTAATACAACATCTGCGAGTGAAAACAGGCTTCGATGCTACTGTCAGGCTCGTGATTAATCGTGTCTAATCGCGATAAAAAATTTACAATTCTCATTCTCGCATGATTGTTTTGCTAACGACGTTAATAGAACTTTGCAATCTGCGTATATCGTCGGCCGACAGCGTGTTACGAATCGGATCGGCGTACGAGCAATATCACCGAGTCGCGGTTGCGTGTGATTTATCACGCCGACGCATTGTTTCTAAACGCGAAAGAATTTCGCTCACGACATCGCCGATAATGACATTACGGCGCCGCGATGCGGGCGAAATGGAATCATTAATAATTCCATAACGATATTATTATCGGCACGCGTGATTGATTAAGGGGCCTCTCTCTTTCTTTCTCTCTCTTTCCCTCGTTCTTTCTTTCTCGCGCGAACTCCCGGCAAAAAGAAATTCAATTCGTGGGAGCCGCGTGTCGGCGGCGCGACACCGCCCGAGATAACGATACGACATCGTCACGCTCGCAACGAGAGAAGAGAGAGAGAGAGAGAGAATAAAATCATTAATAATTCCGTAATACCGGTCGTACGGCGCGTGTGATTTATTAAAGGACAGTCGTCGCGCGCATTGATCCCGCGAGTCGTCGAGGAAAATTTACGTCGCCCCGATATCCCGTGATAACGCGACGAATGTTATCGGACGGTACTGCCGATCGGGAGAAAAACAACCGGATGCGATTCTGCGGGATTAAATCGGGTGTTAAGTCGAGGCAGCAGGACAGAAGAATATACACGGACGGTCTTGAGCGCGAAAGAAAGAAATAGCGGAGGAAGAGAGAGAGAGAGAGAGAGAGCTAAAGATGATGAGTAGGAAGACAGAGAGACGGAGAAAGAAAGAGAGGAACAGAGAGAAAAAGAGACAGAGAGAGAGAGAGAGAGAAAGAGCATAATGCTATACATTGTATACATATACACATCTATAATCACATAATATTCGATTAAAGATTGGTCGGTGTATGCGTGATTTATCATTTAATTTATTTTAAGTTAAAACCTCTTTTTACAATGATATCTTACAATGTGTGTGTGTGTATGTGTGTGTGTGTGTCACTTTTTACATCCAATAAACATCCTCGCCGCACGTCGCTCTCGCGTGCGAAAGGATCGCTCTTCTGCCCATCCTTTTTCCTTTCCCCTCGAAAGTCTCTTTCTTCGTCTCTCCCGCGCGTCGCACCCTTAATCTAACCCCAAACTCCCAAGCCCCTTCTCGCGCGTTCGTGCGGGTGCGATCGATCTCACTTAAAAATCATAATATTTTTTTTTTCTTTACACAGGCTACACGCTACTCCCTAGTAATACTATTAATAGATACCACCTCCTCCTCCTCCTCCCACGGAAAGTGAACCATCGATACGGACTTTTGCTTTTTCCACCCTTCAGTCTTTTTGGACAAATCGCCGCCACCCGTCGTCCCCCTCGTAGGATCTCGAAGGATCCTGCACACCTCCACTTCGTTCGTCATCCTCGCGGCGAGAGAGAAAAGTATTTCGCGCGCGATATCCCGCCGAAAATCATACGCGTCTTTACCTTTTCCCTTTAACATCTCTCTTTTCCTCCTCTCCCCCTTTCCTCCCCCCCGATTTCGTATTTAGTCTACGTACGTCTACTTAGTTTCGCAAAAAACATACGCGAGTGGTAAAACCTCTAGAATCGAAAAATCACAATGTGTTGGGAACTCAAGCGAGTGAGTCTCTCTCTCTGACGAGTAGCAATCAATCAATGGACAATCAATCGACGGATGTGATCGATAATGATAATGACAAATACTAATACGATCTCGCCCGGCGTCGTCTCCCAATCCCCCCCCTCTCCCCCACCACCCGTACGACCACACGTGTGTCGCGCCCGCTCGTCTCGATGAGTCGTCAATTTATATCCTGCTGACTATCTATATGCATGGTTGGTTGTTTATGATGCGCAATTAGTTGCTAATTATGCACAATCATTTAACACGCGCGACGGTCCACCGCCGTGCGCTTCGATATATATTTATAATATATATATATTTTATTTTTTCTTCACATTTTGCATATATATATATATATATATACTATTATTACAATAACGATACACAATCTCGAAGATACAAAATTTACACTTGCCTTTAGTCGCGTGTTCCTCGTGTTTTCTTGCATTGACTGCCGCTGTTCGGTATGTATGTGTACTTGTATCCGTGTAAATGTGGATTCCGCCGTGACTAAATTATGAAGCTAACGCTCTCTCGTGCGATCCGGCGATCGCGTCGACGCGTCGCGTCGGAACGATCGACCGCGATCGCCGGAGGCTTCGTGTATATATAATTTAAGAATTTATCCTATGCGCTTTTATTACACTTACGTGAACTATCACTAACCGGTACGACACACAGAACGGTGCTGGACCGGTGGACGTCGACTGCGGACAGAACAGAAGAAAAATATACTCGAAAGACCTAAAAAAAAAGCTGAAAAAGAAACTCGATTTTAGAGGACTTTCGGCGTGAATCCGCGATCAAGGTTCGCATAGAAATATTATAAAGTCATTTTTCAATTCCTGAAAAACGAATTATGTTTCTAGACCGAAGCGAAACTTGATTCCTTCTGAGAGAATCGTATTTCGCATGCGATTGGCGACCGTGTATGTTCTTTAAAAACCACTCTTCGCCGGGCGATATAAAAGTCTCTTCGTTATTATTGTTCACTGTTCGCGCTTTGAAAACACAATTTTTTCTAAATTATAAAATATTAATTTATTAATGATTTGTGCGGAACACAAATAAGTACAAGTACAATTATACTCTCTAAAGAAAGAGAGGACTTCAGTTTGAAAAAGTATTAATTAATTCAGTTTCAATAAAATTCAAATTTATTAAAATAAATAAATAAAAAATATAAAAGTAAATGTTGATATATTTTTATATTTTTCTAACATTACTTTCGAACATGAGTTTCGGATTCATAGAAAACGACATCACATGAATGGCAAGAATTTTTGAGGAACGTCCAAACGGTCCCGCACCGAGTTACGAACGCCCGTTAATAAAACATCTTTTGAAATTGCACATATCGCGTCGATTTCCATGCGAAGCATGCATGCCCGCGCACTCTCGAGCTCGCCCACCTGCAGCACTCGCGACTCCCCTCGAAATCGATTCTGAGCGCGAGGCATGATCGAGCGGATTTTGTGGTGTCGTTGCACATTATATGGTTCCGCACGATGGTCCAAGCGTCCGATCGATCACACTCGGCCAGAATCCTGCGAAGGAGTCACCTGAAACAGGTTGTCGCATACACACCCGCATTCATCCGTCCTTCCACGCTCGCGCACGCACATAATATATAAATTCTCATATCTATATTTATTTACATGCTATATATCATATATAAGACTCGATACAGTGTTGCTGAATTTTCCTTTGTACTTGGGGCCGGGGCTCGATGGCCCTACACGAAACTTTACATATTTACAAAGAGCTCTTTCGTTTTAAGGAGAGATCCGACGGACGCTCTTTTTTTTCTCGCGTCCGCGCTAAGGACGCCGAGCGTCTCGGGATCCCCCCGCGTGCCGGGGATTTTCGCGTGTCGTTAGTGATCGATCGTGCTCCATGAAGGAGGCCCGCGTGCGAGAAAGAGAAGAGGAGCTTAATTTTTTCTGCTTTTTTTTTGTCTTTTTCCTTTTTACATATTACAATGTGACAGTGGTGGGCTGCGTCCTGAGCTGCTAGTCACTCGCGATTCATGTGTACTCCGATCGCCAGCCGGTCTGAAACCAGACAAAGGTTACCACACTCGTGAGATGCTCCAACTCTTGCGATGGCGATCACCGATAGTGATTAACAATCACCATTGAAAAACAAAAGTCCTACGCGGAAAATTGTGCAGAGAGCGATCGAAACTGAATATACGCGATAACGCGTTTTGTTTCGAATTGCAGTGTCAGATTTCATACACTTAAAATTCTTTCATCGGGGAAAAAAGTGAGAATATTTGGAAATTTTTAATCCAAATGACGCGCCAAAATTACTCGGTTGCGACGCGCCGATATGTCCAAGTTGTTAAGTTTCCACTCTTTACACGACTCCGAGGGTTTATGAATACAGCAAAGTCTGCGCGCGTAGTAGATTCTGATCGATTATCGGCGGCCCGGAGCCGCCTTTGGTCAATCGCCGCGATGAAGGTAACGATCGTGCACTCACCATTGCGTTCGTCGTGGCGGCCAGCTGCAGACCCTGAAGACTCGTCATGTGATGAGAATGGGAATGCGAATGCGAGTGCGGGTGGATGGGGGGCGGCGCCGGTGGCGCAAAGCCCTGATGAAGACCTCCGGCCACGCCGACGCCCGTGTGATACATGTAATGCTGCATCGCCGGATGCATCGTGTGATGATGCTGCGACGTACCTGGAACGATAATGAGAAGCGTCGCCTTTTTAATCCTCCGCACGTTCACTCGAGCTTCGCGAGAGACTTTGTCGATTTTTTCCCAATTAAATGATTTAAAAGAATGATCATACCGAAAAATATTCTTCACGTTCATTAAATGCATTGTGTGAAAGTGTCTAAATTTCGAATAATTATATTAAACGTATCGCTTTATCAATAATACGTTTATAAAATCTTATCCAAATTTTTTGCTTCGCAGATCGCTCCACATTTCAGTTTAATTTGGATATAAAATTTCTTTACAATCAATCAATCTAGCAATCTAGTTTATTCTATTTATAATAGCACAGAGAAATGTTTTAAAGCGCAGCCTCGATGCTCTGAAATTTTGCGGTAAGCTCGACTTACCCATTGGCGATCCGAATCCGGAATGGAAGGGCTTGTTATCGAGATCGAGGTGTCCGCTGGCCTTGATCATGTCACCCATGACACCGCCGAGGCCTAAGCAGCCGCCGGATTTCTTTTTCTTGCTTTTCGACGAGAGCTTCCTATTTCTCGTCTGAATGCCCTCCTTTTTCATAGTCAGCGGCCGGTTCACCTGTAACAGTCGTAGACAACATTTGGCTAAGTGTCAGAGTTAATTCTAAACGCGTATATTTCGCGAATATTTCAATACAATGAATCATAGATTACTTCATTATTAAGTAAATTATAAATGTTGAACAAGAACCATTCAGCAACAAAATGCGTTGAAGAAAACACGCAATTTGTAATTCTGATTATGTTGACAAAGAGAGGCGAATATTCCACACCATTGTAGATCATTAATCGAGTCTCGATGAAATTGAATCGCACAATAACCGCATAACAACGCGATTGCAACAATTTCGTGAGATAGTTTTTGCAAAAAGCAAATCGGGGAAGAACGCGGGCAAAAAGCAAAATAGGACAAGGCGTTTTGCGAGCGTTGAAATTCGCCGAAGAATCCGCGTTGGCGCGGCGCATGAAAAATCAGCCAAGGGTGAACTGAAATTACTGACGCGAACAATGATGCGATGACGTAATGGGGAGTGAGAGGAAGGAGGATGATCGCGATCGTCGGTAGACGTTATTCACTCGAGTGCAGCGTGATGCGTTTTCTTCTCGTTCGAACGTGCGGCGAATGATGCTCCGTACACACAGGGATCGTAAATCATCGCGTGTTGCATGTTCGACGGACACGGCAGCGCGGGGAATGCACTCGCTTCTTTATTCTAAGCTTCAATCTGCGATTTTTCTCCTCCGCCGCGACGTTCCATTCGGATTCCCGTACTTGCGCCGCGCCACCATACTAAATCAATTCTCATTGCGCCCGTCTCGTTCGCGAGAGTCAGGACGCGTCAGCATGTCTGTCTATTTCTGCGAATCGATTTAGCTCACAATGCTAAATTCAAGAAAAGACTGCTCGATTGAATTGGACGCTAACGGTAGGCGGGAGTGAGACTTTTCCTTCTCACAAAGTGGATCGTGGAAGTTAATCGTCGTGAAGAAGGGAAGACCTCTTCCGTGTTTCTGCATCCAGGATTAAATTAAGATACACGAAAGGCTCGTACATTTTTTTCGCTCGCGCGTATGTTAGATAATTGCCATGCCGGACGTAATTAACGCGTTTACATTCGTTATCCGTTTATTATTCCTCGAACGGGGTTCAATTTGCATCAGGACGCGCTAATTGCAAATTTCTGTTTCGTAAAAATCCACGCAACCTCTCTTCCTGTTGAATCTTCCGGTGGACAAATTATGAAGTGCCGCGTCAATGTCAGAAGCGATAAATAATATGACAGGATTTGTTTCGCCGAAAACTTTTTCCACATTTAACAGCACGAGACAAAAGAAAATTAGGTAAATACTTAAGACAAATATATACGCGCACAGCTCACATATTATTTCTCTTACTAATCTGTAGAGTAAAAATATTAATATTAAAAATTTGAGTTTTGCTAGCAAAACTTTGGAATTGATTCAGAAACGCAGCGAGAGACATCGCGACGAAATAGAGATCCATGAGTGTGGCGCACCCAGCACTGGCATAATTTCGTCAGCTTACCAGACGAGAACGCAATTAAGTAATCCCTCAGATTCCTGGTAGTCTCTGGAAGCCGGTGCAATTAACGAATCGACAGTCTCCGAGCGCAATTCGCGAGATACTGCGTCACCGCTGCGCGCGGCGGCGCCACGCCTCGTCCGCGAAGATTCCGTACGAAGAAGTGCTACGGTATTGTTTTATATCGTCGAGAGGAAGAGGTCGTCGGCTTCTCACTTCGATCGAAATTAACGATAATATCACGCCTGCTAAAAATAAACGGCCAGGCGAGTGCCGCGACGGCGACACTTGGCGAATGATCGCTCCGACGACGCGATTGCACATACAAAAATACGTCCGCCGCGGCGACGAGCGCCAAGTCGAAAGGCAGCTTAATTATCGGCTCACCCTGTATAAACGGCGAAACGCGCGCTCGTGCGCTCCGTGCAATGCTTAAAGTACGAAATAAGTATGGTATGCAAGTGTTGTGTGTTGCATCGAATCAAGCCGAGGGGGAGGAAGAGAGGGAGGTCGGGAGGAATCGCGGCGCTTTGTAGTCGCCGCGACGTGACGCAACTGCCAACTTGGGGGGAAAAAGTTCCCGGTATTGCGCTGGACGCGAAGTAGGTGTGCGTGTGTGTATGCGTGCATCATCTTCCTCCTTCCTCCTCCCCCCGCGCCGCTGACCGCCCGCAGCCCTCGCGACGCGATTTTTTTTATTCGTCTTTCGCACCACCCAGAACCCGGCGGCGTGCAGACAGTCGGTCAACGACTCTTTTCGGAATTACGCAATTGGCCGAATTTGCCGAATTAGCGGTCGTTCTCTTGGGGCGAAACGCGCGGCGGCTCTCTGTGAATTGTATTCCCCCCCTCCCGAATCCGTCGCAGTCCAAGTGTCGCACCGACGCGAGTAAGCACGTATGAGAAAATTCGACACAATCTGACACAAGTTGCAACAGAGTTTCATGTTTCGAGAATAGGTTTTGCCATTATTATGTAACATATTGTTCTTGAAAAATTAAAAAAAAAGGACAAGATTTAATTCGAAACAAACAATGATTACGTAACGATACCGTTGCAGTATCAATTATTGTACAACACATGCAAATTTCAGCTATATATTGCTTTATAAGCGCATTCCAAATATATAGTTTTCAACTGACAATTTGTATTATTTCGAGTATTATTAAAATATGAAGAATTTTTGTGCTTGCATAAAAATATGAAAAGTTAAGAATATCAAGTAACGCAATTATGATATTTCGCGTTATTTGTTTCGCTACGTTACGCTGAGACATCGTACGAGATACTGGCTGCCCGTTAATGGGCCTTTTAATAAGCGACGATTCGCGACAGAGCGGATGAGCGGACGCGGCAGAGACGTGCGGAGGAAGGACGAGCGAAAGTTCGAACCAATTTAAATACAATACGAGCGGGATTTAATAGGAACCACCGGCAGTCGGTGGGAGTCCGCGGGTGTCCGAAAGTGCGAGGTGCAAACAAAAGAGACAGCGAGGAGGAGAGAAGGAGAATCAAAGGAGACGGAACGTATTGAAAACCGGTGGAAAAGGTGGACGCGGAAGGAAAAAACGAACGAGAGGCAGAAAAAGAGGAAAGAGGCGAAAAATAAACGGCGAGATGAGGTGAAAGGGGGAACGGAAGGGAGGATGTACGAGGATGTGGAGGAAGACCATTCGAATGCAGATTGATGTGGTCACACACGATGCAACCGCGCGCCGATCGCATACGAAATCGCGCATGGCGTCGATTCTGAAGGAAGACCGAAAAATCGCGGAAAAGCGGGCGCTCTTGAATTTTCGATTACCGATTTCGACGTCCGAATCATGATCTTCGCGCTCCAAGTCTCGCTTTTTCCTCGCAAACGATCAATTTTAAATTTAAAAAAATACTCGACGTAGCGAATCTCGAGTACTCCGATGCTTTCACGGTATACGATAATGATATGAATAATAATGTCGATCCCGGGTCGGTAATTATGGTGGTTTCGCATGCGGTCTTCCATAATCTTGATATTAACCGACTATTTGACGAAGCCGTGTAACTTGTTATCAATCTTAAAGACATTACGTCGAGTTTGCTGAAAAGTATAGAGTATTTACTTAAAAAAAGATGGAAGATTCCACGGAGATGTAGAACGATTAGACAATCTGACAAATAAGATTCGCGACACAAAGTCGGCAATTAAAAGCAGATAACAAGCGCAAAGGTTTAATCCTCTCAGATAACGCAAATGCGACGAAGAGGAATCTGCATTGTCGCTTATTAAGAGGCCGGCAAGACAAGCGAAACAAGACGAAAACCTATGCTTTACGGCACACGGCTGCGCGCAGAAGGTGAAGAAGAGGACGACTCGGAGAATCCCCACGTAGAAACCACGTAGAACAGAGGCACCTTGTCTTTTCCGATATGGATCTCGATCTCGGTTGGGTTGCTGTTACGCGCGTATGTACAGCGAATAGAAGCGTATATATATATATATATATATATATATATATGTATATATATATCTGACATCGCGATTGACCGATAAGAGGAATAATTTTAGAACGGCTTCACCGCTCTGTCGCTCGTTCTCTCCAGTTGCCTTGAAAAAAAAGCCCGGCAGAGAAAGATCGTTCGTCCCGAAGATCTGTCTGCTCGGTAAAACTGAAAAAATCGCAGCGTTTCGTAATCGGCCTGTCCTCCATTTCGAAAAATTTGGTTGAATTTGATACAGCGATGAGTTACACAGAAGTATAAATTAAATTTGATTTAAATAAAAAAAAAAAAGAAATCAAATACAAATGTAATTTTTATGACAAATTTTATATGTGAAAGTTTTCTTTTAATCAAATAAATAAATGTACTATCAAACGTCATTTGCGATTGTACAATATTATGTTGCCGTTGCATTTTGCAGTCGCGGCACATGTTGAAAGACGAATCCACAAAGACAATTAAGTGTCGGCTTGTCGCATCGATGAAAGAGTCACTTCGCGAGGAAGTTATAAAATCGAATTACGCAGAAGTTCGAATTACGTCGAAGTCCGTGCGCCGCTACTTGATATGCTTGCGACGATCCCTCGCACGAAATGCACCACGGTCCTTTGCCGTCTGTTGTCTTGCTGCGGCATGAGACAATCGGCGAGTATTTGGCAGGATAATTTCGTATCAAGATTTGCGATTGAGACAAGGAGATAATTATTTCAATAAAAAAAAATCAAGTTTTCGTTATGAAATATCTCGACATCGTATTAAGTTTACTGTGTGAAACACGCGGAATTTGGAGATTGTTGTTTTCGATGGAATGGCGTGCGTGTCATCGTTTTTTTAGACTAGTAACTGAGAAGGCAAAGGGAGCTCGATCGTTACACCGTCTCATACTACGCAAAAACAAAGGAGCTGGGAGATTTACAAGTAAGATTGGGCCAACAACAATGTTGCTAGCGCATCGATGCGAGCTTCATCGTGCGTTCGTTCCGTTTTTCTCGGAAACCGAAAACGTTCAAAACACGTCGACACGTTGTTTATCGCGA